TAATTTATAAACTATCAAGGGTTCATGAGGGAGGAGGGAGCGGGGAGGGAGGGGAAAAAATAAGGAGCTGATGCCAGGGGCTCAAGTAGAAAGCAAATGTGTTGGGAATGATGATGGTAACAAATGTACAAATGTGCTTGACATACAATGTATGCATGTATGGATTGTGATAAGAGTTGTATGAGCCCCCAATAAAATGATTTAAAAAACCCACCACAGTGTTGGACAGCTGACAAACGTGATGCACAATCGTAATGGCGTCCCTCTGAAAATGTTACCTAGTGATGCTGGTAGGTATGATTCATAACCCAGAGTGCTCTTTTTAACCTTTTCGCTATTGGGATCTGTTTACATTACGTGACACTGAGAGTGGCAGACATATTGCTTCCAAACGTGTCCTGAATAGAGTCAGCGCGTTTATACACGTCCACAGGCCCCCAGGAAAGGCACTGGCCACGTGTGTACTCGTCTTCAGTAGTTAAAGGGTTAAGGAGGGTATTGTGTGTATGGTATTGCCTCCATCGCCCCTAAGTGCTATTTTCTTCATAACAATTTTTTCTATTTTCATTTTATTTCAGAGCATCGCGGGCCATAAAAAATTACCTTGGGGGCCCGCATGCGGCCCGCGGGCCGCCAGTTTGACACCCCTGGCTTAAAGAATGGTGCCCAGTCCAGAGTAGGTGCTCAATAAACACTTGTTAATGAATGGGTTTATAAAGAACAATAAACGATGCCTGGCTTCCCCATCGTTTTGCCGCCACAGGGTTGCACACCTGTCATCCCTAGACCTAAAGCTCAATCCTAGCCTACAGGTTCCCAAGCCCAAGCTGCCCTTCACCATCGCTTGGGGAGGCGGTGACGTCAGCACCCCGGAGCCGTGAGCTCCGCCCCCCGCTTCTGGGGCCCAATCCCGCGGTGCTCTTCTTCCCGGAAGAAAACCAGATGCCCCGCCCCCGTCCGGCAAGGCTCAGCCCCCACCTGGTTCATCCCGGCATTGACGAAAAGCAAGCTGGGGTCGCCGCGGGGCCGCACGGAAGCGGAGGGCACGAGCCGGTGACCATGGCGGTCCCGAAAGAAGCTCAGGAAGGCGTCCCTCACGGCCTTGGCCGGAGCTGGATGGGGCTCGGACGAGAGCGGCCGGTGACCGGGGCCCCGCCACGAAGGAGACCTTCCCAGGGCCCGCCGCAGCTGCCCGGCTGCAGCCGCCACCGAAGCCGCCATCTTGGTGCCGGGCAGCGACTTCAGGGTCAAAGGGCGTCGGCAGGGGTAGAACGTGACCTCCCCTGTTTCGAGGAAGCCCGTGCGTTTCCCACAGCGGCCCCTGCCGGTGGGAGGACTCAAGATAACCGCTGCCCAAAGCAAACCCTCTGAAGCCCATGAGTGGGGTCATTTGAACCAGCTCTCCTTGGGGCGATTTAACACCTCCAAAGGTTCTTCCTAGCGCAAGAAAACCAACTGCTTTGAGCCAATTTAGACTGATAGCAACCCTATGTGGGGTTCTGAGGTTAAATCTTGGGGGATCAAACGGCCTTATCTCTCTCCTTCAGGGTGGCTAGTGGATTTGAGGATGAACACTGACCTTGAAGTTGATAACTCCCACCTGCCCATTGCCTAACCCACACGCATACTCGACCACAAACAAACAAATATACATACATACAAACCAACCTGCCCTGCTCACAGGGACCCTCTGGAGCCCAGTGGAGCCAGGCCCTTTGGGCGCCCAGAGGGGTGGTGATTCTAACAGCCCAAGGCTTAACCATGACTCCCTCTGCCAGGGCTACCTCGTTCAATTGTAGTAGACCCTTCATTCTTTCTGCATTAAGCACATGTTCACAGCGTGTCTGTGTGCTGGGCATTTGGTTTAGGCCCTTGGGACACATTAGTAACAAGATTAATCCAAATCCCTGCCTTCTGGAAGTCTACATGGTACCAAACATGGCTATGCTTATTTATTTATTTATTTGTTTGTTTATTTGGTTATGTGCATTAATGTTGCAACATTACAAATTGGATTGCATTGAACTGGTGTGAATTCAACTCTCTCCCCCTGCCCTTCTCTGTCACAAGTGTGTGTGTGTGTGTGTGTGCTGTCAGGCTGAGGTGACAAACACAGACAGTGCCAAGGGACAGAGCCTCACCCTTAATCCATGAGTCATGCAGAATATATTGAGTCCCTCCTCCTGGACAGTCCCTGTCCTAGGCACGTGCCACTTCCCTTTGTCCTTGGCAGCGGACAAAGCCGTTTTGTCCCTAGGGACGGAAGCAGGCACTTGGAGCAGGAGTCTAGCAGAGTCACAGAAGCGGAGCAGCATCTGCTCCATCTTAATTGCTTAATAACCTTTGGTGTTCTAATTTGCCTGGGGATTAGAGAGAATCCAGGTCGTCAGGGCATGACCAAGCTGTCAGCTTATTGTGGCAGAGACTCCTCTCTCGGAGCCTCCCCATGCCCCAGGGTTTTGGGTGCTTTGCTCTCGGGTCAGACGGGCACCTGCTCCACCTTCCCCTTCTGTCTTTCCCTGGTGATGGCTGGAATGGTGAGGCCAACACGGGCCCCTGTGGGTGCAGCTGGCGTTCTCAAGAGCTTCTCCGGGTGCCCTCTCAGAGCACATGCCGAGGTTACTAAACCCTCAAAGGGACAGCAGAGTTTAGTCAGGGCAGTCACCAAGGAGACCCCAGCTAGCCACGTTGTGAGGGAAACTAGCCCCTCACACTATCATGGGTCTGGTAAGTGCAATTGTCTGGTTATGATAAAGATTATAGTAAAGTCATAGAGAATAAGAGAGATAGAAGAGAAGGTAAAATAAAGGAGTCAGGCACATTTTATGGTAGCATGCTCACCTTCTGTATGGCCATGATCTCACCAGCCAGGTCTGCACATAGTGTGAGCAGAGAGGGCAGGAGAGAGAGGGGACCGGATCCGCACACCACATGTCTTTTGGGCCGCCCTCCCTAGTGAGTTGTGTTATTTGGGAACTTCAGAGACAGTTTCTTTGAGTACTGTGCAGTCTGTCTAGGACTGCAGCTTCACCAGGCCGGTGAACACTCACTATGCAGCACCTGTCCCATGATCCTCTGTGTCTCCCCTCACCCACATAAATTAAAGGTGCTGTTTTGAAAGGACTCTGCCAGGGTTCCCTTTTCTGTTCTTTGTTTTCTGTTTTAACCAGAACCTAAAGTGAGCTGGGGGATTTCTGTAGGACTGATACATCTTAAAACAAGACAGTGAAATTCTCACCCAAACTGAGATACTGAGATGTGTTTTGCCAAAGAAATCTAGCTAATATTTTTTTTTTAATCTAGTACTGATACTTTTTTCTCCCTCAGATGGGCCCAGAAAGCTTTTCCATAACCGTAGGAATGTCATGTTTTTCATGAATTCTTTTTCCTTCTATTTTCTTCTTTCTTCCTCATTCTTTTAAAGCCAAGCCAACTCACTGCCGTGGAGCTGATGCCAACTCACTGTGACCCTAGCGCACTGAGCAGAACTGCCCCTGTAGCTATCCGAGGCTGGACGTCTCTGCAGGAGTGGACAGCCTCATCGTTCTTCATCTGAGCGGCTGGTGGGTTTGAACTGCTGCCCTTGCAGTTAGAGCTGGATGCTTAACTTGCTAGCTAGGTGAAACAAACACACCACAAGCCATGGCTTCGGAATGCTTGTTTTGTGAATGGTTTTCTGTTGGACGTAGGTATTTTCCCTGCTCAATCACTCTCTTTGTAATCTTCGCCCAGGGAAGCAGACAGGTTCTTCTGAGGTTTGGCCCATCATCTGAGAAGGAAGTCTGACTGTGAGAAGTTTGTTGATAGCGGCCCACAGTGATGGCACAGAAATGTCCCAGGGGCCTTTCTAGGCTGTAATCTTTATGGGGACCGATCGTCAGGTCTCTGAGCCACGGGGTGGGTTCAAACCGGCAGCCCTTGGTTACCCGCGGAGCACCTGAGTAGAGACACGGGATCGCCTGAATGGGAATCCACTCCCGACAGGAGGCTCAGGCTGGGCTTCTTAGCGGTTCCAAGCGGCCTGCCTCTTTGAGCCTCTGCTTTCTGCCTTGCTCGGAAGTCGGTCCTTTGATTTTCCCAGGGGCTCGGAGAACAGGAACCCCGAGCCCGGCCTCACAGGCGGAGGCGAGGCCAGGGACTTTTCAGCGTGCTGAGCACATACACATAGACTCGGCGCTGGGGATTTCCTCATCAATCATTAAAGTGTTTTTATTTCTCCTTCTCTGTGGGCCGCTAGGTTAAAAGTTCACCCCGTAAGCAGTGTGTCTAGCTTGATGCGTTCGTGCGTGGCGCCGTCCTATCTGGATCCCAGAGCTGTGTTCTCCCATGTAACACGTGTGCACTTCTCTTGCGGGGGCGGGGCTCTTTTTAAATTGCTGAGAGGGTTCATTGAGCTTGGGGGTGGGGGGGTGTCAGCATGCTGAATTTCTATCAGGCGCCCAGCTGCCGGTGCCGGTGGTCACCTTGAGGGCCAGGCTAGCGCAGGGCTCGGGCTCTGCTGGGCTTGAGCTCTGCTGGGCTTGGTGTTCCATGCTGTCCAGTCGGTTCTGACTCAGAGCTTCCCTCTGCCCAGCACAACGGGACTCTGCTGGGCCCGGCGCCACCCTCGGCCATCTAGCCCTGTGGTTCTCAACCTCTCTCATGCTGCAACCCTTTCATACAGTTCCCCATGTAGTGCTGAACCCCCGAACCATAACATTTTCGTTGCTACTTCATCACTGTCATTTTGCTACTGTTATGAATTGGGCGACCCCTGTGAAAGGAAGGGGGTCGTGACCCACAGGTTGAGAACTGTTGATCTAGCTCATCAAAGGTCTTTCTCTGGCAGCCCTAGCCTGCCCTAATGCAAATGCCTGCGCCCTTCTTCACTCTCTCTTATCCACTGTCCAAAGGTCACCGGCACCCCAGGCTCTGGAAGCATTTATTGGCGCAGGCCGGGTGTCCGCGGGGTTGGGGACCTCTGTCTAGTTTCTGCCCTTACAGCCCAGGCCTGGAGCTGGTCCTGCGCATGCGTTGCTCTTCCTGTCCTGGGGAAGACCTGCTGGAGTCTTCCTGTTGCTTCGGTTACACAGAGGATGCTCTGGACCTTGAGGAGGCATCCAGATGCAGGGATGCTTGGTTTCAGTTGTGTGACGCGCCCCAGACCTGGACTCAGGAATTAGCCAAGGGTTTGACCTTAGCCCCTGGGGACAAAAGCTATAAATCCATTGGAACTAAGTCACTTTGTTTCTTAGCCTCAGTTTCCTTAGGTGTAAAATGACATGCAAGGCCCTTCCTTCTTGCTGGAAGCTGTTTTGAGAACTGCATGAGGCCTTTCAGCCCACAAACATTCTGACTTATAGTGACCCTATAGGACAGAGTAGAACTGTCCCTGTCAATTTCCAAGATGATAACTCGTTATGAGAGTAGAAAGCCTCATCTTCTCCCACAGGCACCTGGTAGTTTCGAACTGCTGACCTTGTGGTTAGCAGCTCAATGTATAATATGCCACCAGGGCTCCCTTAGGCTTTCTACTCCCATAAAAAGGAGTCCCGATGGTGTGGCTTGAGCCACGATTGCAGCCTTGGAAACCCTGTGAGGCAATTCCACGCTGTAGCCATGAGTCAGAATTGACTATGACATGGATTTTAAAAAAAATTTAATTCCCTGCCAACAGTTTTATTAACATATAATTCATATATCATACAATCCAATGACTCAGTCACATCAAGAAGAGTTGTACACTCATCACCACAATCAATTTTAGAACATTTCCCTCATTCTTGTGCTCATCAAGATTAGCTCCCAATTGTCCCCAACCTCCCTGTCATACCTCCCAAGGAACTATTAATCCAGGTACTGTCTCTATAACTTTACTTATCCTGGGTTTCATATACAGAAAAACAAACAAAAACCCAACAAGAATAACAAAGTAGAAAAGATAAAAACCTCAATTGAAAAGAGAGCAGAAGACATTAAAAAGCAGAACAAATTCAAGTGGATCACAGGGAGATCACATTGAGAGGGTGCTAAATTCTCACCTAACGGCATCTGCCGCAATCCACTCTCCAAGTCATGCTGCACGGCAGCAAGGCTGTTCACGTCCGTGGTCCATGGTCGGGGGAGGGCATTCACCAAGGGGCTTAATCCAAACAACGTTTTTGTTTGTGTTTTAAATCGATTGTCAGTTTGTCATTGCTGCGATGCTGGACCAACAGTACCACCCATGGTGGTCAGGTTTT